ATTCCTGCAAACCGTAAGAGGCGACTAAGTGTGGACCCCCTGCTGCGACTGTAAGATCCATCGCAGTATTGAGAGGCGACTACAAATTGGGCGGTATCTAAGATATACCAAATAGTGTACAAATAAGGCGATATAACAGTCACGAAGCACTGTATGTGTCCATTAACAAAAAATAAATGTAATCGCCAAAAAGAAACCACTTGCGTATTCGGTTAATACTGAATTGTTAACATGTGAACATTTCTCACATACAAAAAAACAAAGATCTTCCATGTACAAGTCATATGATTCGTTTTTATCATGATTGACGTTCTGCAGGAAATCTAGCAAGATGATAACACTTCAGCAGACAGACGTATTTTTAGCAAGGAAAAAACACAGTATTTGCGAAGAAATGAAATATTGTTTCTATATGTACAGAAGCCATAATACAAAAACAAATAATTATAAGACCTAAATAGATACATTAGGTTTCTTATGAAGCTAACGTAATGCTTGTGTTATAACACGCATTTGTGGATTTATGAAAGCCACGTTCACCTATTGCCTAGCATTGAGATCCAGGGCACCTTGTGTAGTTAACAATACTAGTATTTCTTAACAGTATAAAAATAAAAAATAAAAATACCTAGCATCTCAATCGAAGAGCAGCGTTCTTTTTGCAGCCTTCCGATCTGTTGTAACAATTCGTCATGTTCCAATGTCTGGTTTCCATTGTCACTCCTTGATGTTTGCAATTCTTTATCTCTAGAAGCTACAATAAGAAAGCGTATAACATCATGACATTTAAGTATCTATAAATTTGTACACAGCAAAACAAAACCAGTTTATATACAGTTAATTTCTACAACATAGAAAATTGTTAATATATTAATAAACAAAATATTCTTGTTTAATTTAAAAAGATATCATTTTATGTGTGATAGGTTAGTTTTAAGCAAATGTCTATATTTGCTATTTGAAATTGTGTTTACGAAATGACTGAGACACTTACGCAATTCATCCTCTTCAAGTCGTTTGTGTTCAACACTAAGCTCATCAAACTCGCTTTTTCAGATTTTTCATACGACTTGAGTTTTATTGACATCGAATCGTTTTTCTTCTTGTAATCGTCGCTTTCAATTTTCAGTGCCTCTAATTGTTTTCTCAGAGAAAGGGCATCGGCGTCTTTGTCCTGGATCATCTTCTTGTATTTGTTTTCCATATCTCGCATTTCGTCTTCTGTGTCCTTTTGCTTATTCGTATTCATTCTTTCCATTTCCGGCATTGACTGCTTGTAGCATTCCTCCTCCGTGAAATACTCTTCGTCGTCCAAGTCCTCATTTTGAAAACGTTCCAGTTGCATGGCAATGTTGGTTATTTCGTTCAACATCTGTTGACATTCTGGTGACAATTTCTTCACTTTTCTCTTTTTGTGTGATGTCTCGTTTTTAGAATGCAGAGCTGTTCTTTTTAATTTAACAGCTTCTTTGCAGTTTTTGCATAACCTATTTTCGAGCATTTTCTGGCCATCATTTAAAGCAAAACTAACATTATCTAATGTATTCATATTTGTAGCTAATAAATCCATTTGCTTTTTCATGTCGCGTCTTAAATTCTGAAAATGTAAGACAACAATCGATATTTCAAAATCAAACTTCTTACACATAAAGAGAATGTAAATATGAAATGTACTAAACATCCTTTATTAGCTATTTTCTATTTTTCTGCAAATTGTTGGACACAACGAAATGGATTCATTGACCAAATATGAGGGATTCGCTATATGAAATATAATAGAAATATTGCTTTACGTGGGTTTTTTTAAGATATTATCTTTTTACATCATTTTGAAGGGTGGGATCTGATGATAAATTAACAGATACTCGTATTATTCGCAATTTGCGAATATATGGTATTATGTATCAATAGGAGCGTATCATTTATCTATTTGATAATATTGATAATCTAAAACCGACTGATCTTACCGTTACTAATGTTGGTGCATCTGTTCGGTGACAATACGGCCGAGATAAATCCATGTCCATTTTTCGGTATCAAAATACACAGCAATTACCGTTAACTGTCAAAGTAAAATAATTTCGGTTGAAGCACGACTTTGTTTGCCATTGATATTGTCATACTTGCCCTTTGGAAAGTATTATTAAAATTCATGAATAATGAATACATCAAGTTCATTTCATTTCAACAAATTTTATTCGTGATGTTGTATGAATTGGATTGAACAACAGGCTATGCCTATATCA